CTAGTAGCGATGCACCTTGTTCCTAGTAGCTTCTTGTTACTAGTAGCGATGCACTTGTTCCTAGTAGCGATCCACCTTGTTACTAGTAGCTTCTTGTTACTAGTAGCGATGCACTTGTTCCTAGTAGCGATGCACCTTGTTAGTAGTAGCTTCTTGTTACTAGTAGCGATGCACTTGTTCCTAGTAGCGATGCACCTTGTTACTAGTAGCTTCTTGTTACTAGTAGGGATGCACTTGTTCCTAGTAGCGATGCACTTGTTCCTAGTAGCGATGCACTTGTTCCTAGTAGCGATGCACTTGTTCCTAGCCTAGTAGCGATGCACCTTGTTCCTAGTAGCGATCCACCTTGTTACTAGTAGCTATGCACTTGTTCCTAGTAGCGATGCACTTGTTACTAGTAGCGATGCACCTTGTTACTAGTAGCTTCTTGTTACTAGTAGCGATGTACTTGTTCCTAGTAGCGATGCACCTTGTTACTAGTAGCTTCTTGTTACTAGTAGCGATGCACTTGTTCCTAGTAGTGATGCACTTGTTACTAGTAGCGATGCCCTTGTTACTAGTAGCTTCTTGTTACTAGTAGCGATGCACTTGTTCCTAGTAGCGATGCCCTTGTTACTAGTAGCTTCTAACTACTAGTAGCTTCGACAGGAAGCTTGCCGGACACCAAGACCAGTCAGGGAGGGATCTAAGTGAAAGGGTGTGCATGTTCATATCTTCATAGGTCTTACATACAAACACCCCGGTACCCCGGTTTCAAGGGAAGGGATGTCGGGCCGTCGGGTGGCGCGGGACGTGTGCGCAAGTATCGATGGGAGGTGGCGGAGGGTCTCCCAGAGACTGCGGCCTCCCTCAACTCCTGTCGCTCTGCCGGAGTGGGCGAGCAGGCGCCACAGGGACCCAGAGAGAGAAGTGTTTGGTGTGAAGTCAGAAGTGCATTTGTAGTCAGTACTTCCGCAGCAGTTCCTTGCGCCCAAACATCTACATAGTTAATAGTTAGGTGATGGGCGTGTGGAAATACAGCTGTGAGCGACGGCTTTGGTTTGAGCATCCTACGTGTTGTTAAGGTGTTCCAAGGCCTGGAGTAGCTGTACCTTACTAGTAGTAACAAGTGCCTTACTAGTAGTAACAAGAAGCTTCTATATATATATATATTGTTTCTATTAGCTTCTTGTTACTAGTAAGGCACTTGTTACTACTAGTAAGGCACTTGTTACTAGTAGCTTATTGTTTCTAGTAGCTTCTTGAGAACTTTTTGAGCTTTACCGTTGGCCAAACAAGCATTCCAAAAGGAAGTAAAGAGGCACGTTACAGCGTGCCTACTGCTTCTACATGACAGAATCGGACATTCGGTCTAATACTATGTGTTTGGGAGCACGATTCAGACCCGCAAATCCCATGTGTAACAACACAAGTCCCGAGTTCAGTCCCACGCGTTGGCAAGAAAGACTCTCTTGCCTCCAATTTCCGAATGCTTCTCACAGCATTGCGAACTACACCCTCTGACCGCCCATCTCTCAGTAGTGTCGCGCAATGTTGTGTGTATGGAGGCCATCGCTACTAGGGTGGAGGCCATTGCTAGAAACAAAGAAAACCGAAAAGGACAAAAGGTCTTAAAATATTTTGCTCATTCAAAGTGCCCGATAGACTTTTTCGTTGGCTGCTTAGCACCGGAGCTAGTGAGAATGAGCACTGACACCGTAAAAAACACCACTATAAACAAGGACGTACTAGGAACAAAGGGCATCGCTACTGGCCTTACTACTAGTAACAAGAGGCTCTTCTGGGATTGTCGAACTTCTTTAAGAGTGGAGAGTTTCCTGGTCTGCCTTGGGATCACAAGAATCTTCAACAGACGACGTGTCTTGTCCACATAGGTCGTTTGCCATTGTAGGTTTGAGTCTCCCGCTTAAGATGTATATTATCCTGCACTGGATAGCATCAGGTAAGTCCTTTGTCCCTTCAGGATTGAAGTATCCAGGAATCCAATTGCGAATCATCAGAGTCACTTAATTTCACCCAATGAGCACTTGGTATTCACAGAGCGACGTCGCAGGTTTGCTCTGGGCGTGGACAGTGCAAACCTTGGAGCACTGTACCCATGAAGGTGGGACAATTGCCATCCATTGCCGCTCTGGACCGGTGGTACGCAGGTTTAAGTGTTCAGTGCCGAACTGGTGCATGGTGAAGGTTGACCAACCTGCTTGTCATGGACCAGCTGAAGATCGTTCTAAAGAAGTTGAGACACTCCTAGTTTGTTCCCTCGACTTGTAGAGCTTGGTTTCTTTCGTGCGATGGAGACCACTTCCCAACCGATTCGCCGAAAAGATCCGCAGTTATTTTAGAGTTTGCTTCTAGGTTGGAGGCCATCTCTCTTAGAAACCATATTTGATATGTACCAGATTCACCAAAGTTTCGAAAGAAAGATCCCTTGCGTCAAGACTGGGTTGGTGTCGCGCTCGGCGCTTTGCTCGAGGTTGACGGTGGCCAGGTAGCATCCTCAGAAAGGAAGGCTTTGGTTTGAGACGCTTAACAGAGTACTGCCAAAACATCGTAAGAAATGAAGGTAAGGTCATACTTTAGGCGGAGACGTTGCGTTTTCTCGGTTCTTACCTGGTATAGATTTCTGTCAGTAGAATACTTGGATGTTTCAACCATTTATTTGGAGGATGTTCTGAGTTGCAACATGTTCTAACCCTGTGTGCATACCATCGAAGCGTGATATGTTGTAACCCTGTGGTCTCAGCGCTAGAGGTGGCGATCTGGTGATTCAACCCGTGCAGTCGCCACCTCCACCGCTGAACACACAAAGAGCCCCAAAACCAGCTTCTCTTGGGGAGCGATGGTCGTAACTATCTCATTCGGATTAAAACATCGGAGTGAGTAGGCTGAGAGAACACAAAGTGTTCCGCTTGACTGTGCAAATCACTGCTATGATGGTGAAGTCAGAGAACCCAGAGGATCCGTCAAGAGCTTGAATCCGTTGATCAATGGCCTGCTCTACCAGCCGCGTTTTGAATGCGATCCGAGCCTGGACCATTTGGTAACAGTTAGCTGATGAAACACCTCAATGCATGTCTTAGACTTTGAACGCGAATAGCAATTGTCGGATTGTTGGTTCTCCAGAAGCACCAAATCGAAAAGTGTACCAAGAAGGTTGAACCCTGAGGGTGATGAAGCCCTTTTGTTCAAGAGCGGTCAAAAAGGACCGCATGTGCGGGTTATGAGCCCAACGCGATAGGAGGGTCGCGAAGTCCACCTGGGGAAGGGTTTCGTGGACCCACCAGTCGCTGGCTCCCATGGCGGCGCGGCCGGTGGGGCGAGCGGCTGCCGGCGGCTCGGCCTCGGGCACTCCTGAGGAGGGCTCGATGGAGAGCGCCAAAGAGGACGAGCTCCTCGCGCTGGAGGACGCGCAGGACGCCTTGGTCCCCGTGACCGCCATGGTCCTGGCTCAAGGTCCTCCTACCACCTATGGACCTCAACGACGAGGAGAAGTTCCAGGCAAAGGGAAGGGGGAGGGGACGAAGACTGTCCCCGTGAACCCGTTCTGCAGCGAGCGGATGCAGGCTGAAGCCCGGTTGAGGGCTATGAGGCCAGCGGCTTTGCCTGATGGAGAGGCGGTGGACGTGCCCCAGACTTCAGGACGGGTGGAGCCTGCGGATGAGGAAAGGGGGGTTTCAATGGACGTCAAGGAGCTCCTGAAGGCAGTGATGGCGCAGAATGCAGCCTTGAAGAAGGAGGTTGGGGAGCTGCGGAAGGAGATCAAGGAGTCCAAGAGTGGCAAGGAGACGAAGGGAAAGGTCAGGGAGGCCATTGAGGATGTGCCCAAACCTCCAACGTCGACGCCACCACCTTCACCTCCCAAGGCACCACCTCCGATGACACCTGACCGTGGGAGAAAGGAGGTTCCGGGTCAGGCATGGGCCGACGTGGAAATTCCGGAATTCCCGGGAGGTGGCATGGAGACCAAGCCGATGGACTCTATGAGGAGAGATGGAATCCAACGAGGCTCTGGAGTACCCGGGGTGCCAGGTTCTTGGGGAGCTCAAGGGTGGGGACTACATCCAGGACGACAGCCAGGTGACGAACCAGGACACCAGGGAGACCGAGAAGGGATGCGAGAGCTGGTGAAGGGCTCTCCTTTGGAACAGGCAGCACAGTCTGTTCTGAGGCAGCTCGGGACAAACTCATCGGATGGGAACTGGGGGGAGGTGATCAGATCCGTTGAACTCCCACCACTGCAGGACCTTCGTGAGGGAGATCTGGGATCCTTGATCCTTGGTGACTGGATCCAACTCATCATGCCGACGATGAAGGACTTGAGCGCCACGAGTTGGAAGTGGTGGGAGGAAGTGTTGAACCTGGCCATGGTAGCTTATAGAGATTGGCTTCAAGCTGAACCAGTGCAGCGCTTGTACATCCGGCCACGAACACCTCCAGAGTGCTCGGGAGTGTGGAGTCGCCTTGAGCAGCGTGGTCAACTGATGCTGATCAATGCCGCTCCCCAGAACATCAAGGCAGAGGTGTTGGCGAGTCGGACGACAAGTTCAGTGGAAGTCCTTTATGCACTGTTCCGGAGATACCAGCCGGGTGGGCTTGCGGAAAGATCTCGCCTGCTTCGACAGCTGGTGGAACCGAAGGCTCCTCAATCTATGAACGAGGTGGTTGAAGCACTTCGGGGGTGGAGGAGAAGTTTGAGGCGAGCGCAGGAACTGGACATCGCGACGCCGGATGCCACGTTGCTGCTGGGAGCCTTGGACAAGATGACGGAGCTGGTAGGACGGACGTCCAGCCAAGTGGCCTTTCGGATGTCGTCGACTCGGGCGACATTGGGAGTCGATGTGACACCCACCTTGGAAACGGCGATGAGTTTCTCGGACATGCTCACCGCCGAGGCGGAATCCCTGGCCATTAGTGAGCTGCAGCCGATCCAGGAGATTAAGGGTGCCCCTCATGCCACCAAGGTCAAGGCGATGACCGCCGCCATTGAGGAGAAGGTTGAGAAGGGCACAGAGAAGCCTAAGGGAGAGGGGAAGTCAGATGAGAAGATCTGCCGTTTTTGGGGGTCTGATGAAGGCTGCCGGAAAGGGCAGGGATGCCGCTTCAAGCATGACTGGGGAGGCCTAGAAAAGAAGGGCCGGTGCTTTGGATGCTCGTCAACTAAGCACACCAAGAGAGATTGCCCCACGGTGAAGCCGAAGGCGGATGGAGACAAGCAGATGAAGACCTTCAAGAAGGGTTTTGAGAAGGGCACCGGGATCAAGAAGATGGAGAAAAATGAAGGAGGCCAGGAGAATCAGCAGACTCTGGCCGAGGAGGTGGTTGATGAGAAGACCGTGGAGAAGCCTGCCGCGAGCTCAGGGGAGGTACAAGCCCTATTGTCGGATGCGATTACCCTTTTGAAGAGCTTGAGGCCGGTGGGGGATGGTCGAACAGCGGTGAAGGCCATTAAGCTCAGCAGCCTCGAGGTGAAGACCAATGACAGAGCTCTACTGGATGGAGGAGCCACTCATTGCCTTCGGAGAGCTGAGTTCGAGGAAGAATGGCAACGAGCGCAGGAGGTCAGAGTGGAGCTTGCCGAAGGTTCTGTGATGCTCAGGCAGATCCCATGGACGAAGATCTCCTCACACAGAATGAGGTACAGACCATCGTACCCCTGGGAGTCCTGATCTCGCTGGGCTATGAAGCCTACTGGGAGAGAGATCGGTTCACCTTGACTGACCCCAGTGGGGCCCTTCTAGATGTCATGTTGGAGGGCATGTGTCCGACGGTCACGGAGGGCCTGGGGCGGGAGCTCATCGTGGAGATCGAGAGGAGCATGGTCCGGGAGAGAGCACGTCTGGCTGTCTTGAATGGGGAAGAGAGCAGGAGTGCATTGGAGGTCGAAGAAGTTCACTGGCAGAAGGAGCTCGCGTCAGAGGGCAGAGCAGTACTTTGCGTCGACACAGTGATTGACCCGGGAATGAACCTCCTACGTGACGATGTCTTCGCCTACCTGCTGGAGATTGCTGATGGTGGCACGCTGCGCGCACTGCTTGGTGGCCCACCATGTAGAACTATGAGTCGGTTGCGGTATCGACAACCTGGACCGCCGCCTCTTCGAGAGAGAGAAGGACCTGGAAGGTTTGGACTGCCGAATCTAGACCCAGTGCTAAAGCAGCAGGTGGAGGAGGATACGCTGTTGTGGCTGAGGCAGGTATACCTCCATCACCGGGCATCGAAGGCTTCTCCGGCGGCGGTGGCCACGGCACTTGAGCAGCCAGATGATCCAGAGGCCTACTTGGGGGAGTCCAAGAGGGAGATCGGAGGAGCCGGACATCAGGCCACGGAAGAAAAAGAATAGGAGGTGAGCCGGCACCCTCGCTATCCTACGTACTGGTCGTGGCCGGAGTGGCAGACGGTCAAGAAGATGTGGGACCTCTTTGAGGTGCGATTCGATCAAGGACCCATGGGACACTCCCGCCGAAAGCCGACGAGGCTAGGCACGAACACGCAGAGGCTTAAGGAGCTTGAAGGCCTCCGTGGACCAGGTCATGGTGGAGAAGATCTTCGGGGAGACAGCATCCAGGAGAGGATCGCGAGATCGAAGTCCTGGGCAGCATGGGCCCCTGGCTTGAAGGCAGCTTTGGTGGTAGCAGTGAGGGAGTCGCTGGAGAAGGGCGACCCGCGGATGAGGAGGATGGACCTCAATGCCTGGAAAAAGCATCTCCTCAATGGACATCTGCCCTATAGCAGAGAATGCAGGGCATGTGTCGTTGCTGCCTCGAAGAGTAAAGCCCACAGACGCGTCCCACACCCGGACGCTTATACACTCTCGATCGACACTGCTGGACCGTTTGAGGTAGCTGAGGACCAGCTGGGGAAGGGACGCTACCTGCTTGTGGGCGTCTATTTGGTCCCGGTGACGAAGGATGGACAGTCACTCATTCCCATCAATGAGGAGGATGAACTGCCTGGAGTCCTAGAGGAGGGTCCGGAGCTGGCGGTGGTGGAGACGGAAGAGGAACAGGGTGTGCGAGAAGAGTGGCCAGGGTTGGATGACGAGAAGGCATGGCTGGAGAAGGTAGAAGTCGAGAGGGACTTCCAAGTCAAGCAGATCCTGGTGGTTGAGGTGCTGGAGAACCGAGGAGGACCAGCAGTGGTGGAGGCGGTCGGGAGAATCGCAGCCAAGCTTGACTTTTTGGGGCTCCCAGTCAAGCGACTCCATTCGGATCGCGCGGGGGAGTATCAATCCCGAGCGTTCCACAAGTGGTGCCACGACAGAGGCATTCTGACGACGGCGACAACTTCAAAGGAAATGGCCGTGCGGAGAATGCGATTGCCCAGGTGAAACGTGGTGCACGGACCCTCCTCATCGCGGCCGACGCCAGCTGGAGTCAATGGGCTGGAAGAAGCGGGACTTGGCACCTTTCGGTCAGGTGGTTTGGGCGAAAAGGAAGTACTACAGCGACAGGCAGAAGTACCTCTCAACGACCCGTACCCAGGTCCGAGTGCTGTGCCCAGCCGTGACGATGTCAATGACGACACCAGGGTATTTGGTCCAAGAGATTGAATCCGGCAAGATGTTCCACACGGGAGACATCATCCAGGTCGGTGAGGCCCCGGCAGAGTTGGAGGTTCCGGAGAGGGAGGCTGGCTTCATCCATGAGGTTGACGACCGGGAGGAAGTGGAACAGCCCCGGAAGAGGCCAGGGCGAGTGAGGAAGTGCATGAAACTACTTCAGGGACCTGCAGAAGGGGCTCAGGCTGTGGACTGGGGGGAGCTGCATCACCGAGGAGCCAGACATCTAGCACGGGAGTTGGCTCTCCTTGAAGAGGACGACGGGGAGATTGTCAACGAGAGGTTCCTCAAGATGTTAACGGCAGAGGTGGAGGAGATTGCTGAAGAAGCGATGATCCAGGGACGACAGGCCGAGGCGGTCCAGCTGACAGAGGCGGAGCAGGCCCGAGGGGATGCGCAGGAGTTTCTCCAGACGAGGATGGTCGGCCTAGCTGAGGTCAGAAGGAATCTGGAGGAGTGGAAACCATCGATGGTGGAGGAGTACACTGCATTGATCATGGAATCGGAGGCGGTGGAACCCATCGACCGAGAACGGACCGACCGGCTGAAAGCAGAGGCGGAAGCTCTGGGTAAGGATTTTGACCTCGTCCCGGCAAAGGCTATCTTCAGCAGAAAAGCAGGGTCCGGACGACACAAGTGTCGGGGTGTGGCCTGTGGGAACTTCATGAACGCCAAGAGCACGGAGTCGACCTTTGCATCCGGGGCGAGTGGGATTGAGGTGAGGATGTTGATCAAGCTGGCGGCTGTCAACCAGTGGTCCCTGGCGACGTTAGACGTCAAGACCGCCTTCCTCAACGCTCCTGCAGCCCACGAACGAGGCACGATTATCGTGCAGCCACCAAGGATCTTCCAGGAGGCCGAGGTGTTGGCGAATCCCAAGGAGTTGTGGCTGGTGAAGAAAGCACTCTACGGGTTAGTGACGTCTCCTCGCGATTGGTGTGATCACCGAGATGGGAAGATCAAGGAGTTCCGATGGAATCGAGGAGGAAGACCAGTCCGAGTGCAGGCCACCCCTCAAACGGACATCTGGCTGATCCAGGAGGAAGATGAGAAAGCTGGGTGGAAAACAAAGGGAGCATTGGCGACATACGTGGACGATGTTCTCATGGTGGGTGAGGAGGACATCATCCTGGAGTTCATTGAACAGGTGAGAACCCATTGGAAGATTGGTGAACCAGAGTGGGTGATGGAAGGACGAGAGCCTGTGAGATTCCTGGGGATGGAGATCGAGAAGCGTGGGGTCGACTATGTCATCCACCAGCAGGCCTACATCACTAACCTGCTGAGCGAATATGAGGAGGCTGGAAGAGGCACTTTGGGCCAAGTACGAACTCCTGAGGAGGAGGAACAGCCTACGGCGGACCAAGTTCTCCAGGCACAGAAGGAGACGGGTGAGCTGTTGTGGGTGGCAGGAAGATCACGACCCGACCTGTCGCTGGGTGTCGGCATTATGTCTCAATGGGCGTCGAAGAGACCGGCGCAGGTGATCAAGATCGGGAAGCAGATCCGGACCCACCTCAAGGAGACGCTGGAGGAGGTCTTGGTCATGTCGGCGGAGGACAGAGGGAACCGGGAAAAGGTCAATAACGATGAGAAGGCCTCGATCAGGACGGTTGACATCTACACGGACGCCTCCTATGGGTCATCGGAGCTAAAAAGCATTTCCGGGGTAGCCGTTTTTGTCGGAGGAACTCCCGTCGGATGGCAGACGACAAGGCAGCCGTTCATAACACTCTCAACGGCGGAAGCCGAGCTGATGGCGATGTTGGAAGGACTCATTGCTGGAAGATCTACGGCAGCCTTGCTGGAAGCAGTGGTGGAGGAGAAGGCGGAGGTGAGGCTTCACTCCGACTCGACAGCCGCTATCGCCATCGCGACGGGGACGACGTCGTCGTGGAGGACGAGGCACCTCCGGATCAGGGCAGCTGGACTCACCGAGGCGATCAGGGAGAAGGAGGTCACATTGGATCATGTGTCCGGGAAGGTCCTCGTTGCTGATGGCTTCACCAAGCAACTCACAGGACCAGCTCTGGGAAGGTTCAAGGAAGCTCTGGGGTTGAAGGGGGTAGAGAAGGAGCCGATCGTGGTCAAGAAGATCGAGCTCATCAAGCAGGTCGAACCGGGATTCACTCGAGGAGTGGGACTCCTCATTGCGGCAGCCAGTCTGTTGGGAAGAGTGGAGGCAGCGGAGGTAGAGGTGGCAGAGTCCACGAGTGAATGGTGGATCATCGTGCTCATCACGGCGGCCATCGCTATCCTGGTCGACATTGCCTTTCGAGTGGGAACTTCGAGCATCCAGAGGTGGTTCAGGCCGAAGGAGGAGATCAAGGTGAAGTTGCTCAGCCCAGAAGCTCGACTACCCACCCGGGGTTCGGATCAGGCTGCAGGGCTGGACCTATACTCCACCATTGAAACGCTGGTTCCCCCGGGAGAGAGTGTGTTGATCAAGACCGGTCTGGCGATTGAACTTCCAGCTGGGACATATGGCAGAATCGCCCCACGGTCGTCATTGGCAATCCGGGGGATCGAAACCGGAGCAGGGGTCGTGGACCGTGACTTCAGGGGGGAGGTGAAAGTCCTGCTGAGAAATTGGTCGGACGATGATGTACGAGTCTACAAGGGAGATCGGGTAGCCCAGCTGGTCGTGGAGCGCATCCTGGAGGTGGGGGTGAACCACGTGGAGGATTTGAGTGAAACCCAACGGGGAAATCGTGGATTTGGATACTCAGCTCATGAGGAGGCATATCCTTGGGCAGAGCCTGATGACCCACTTTACCAGAGACAGGAGCTGGGAACGAGCCATCCGGTGGATCGAATCTCAATGAGAACGATGAGGACCAGCTGGACACCTTGAAGGAACTGATCCGGGACTATGTCATCGGAGCACCCAGATCGGGGAGGTGCGGAGTGAAGCGTCGGCAGCAGCTGGTCAAGAAGGCCCTGAAGATCTTCGAGTACACGATTCGGGACTAAGACATCGAGGGGCCTATGATGCTGGTGCCGAGGAGAGACGTCGAGCGGAGTTAGGGATGACTATGAGCGCCTGGGACCGCTATATGATTCGACGGGGTCCACGGAGAGACTATGGAGGGACCTGGGTGATGCTGGACAGCGATGGGGTGCACTTCATCGCTCGAGACCCAGGTGATGGACTGGGAAGGAACCCAAGAGCTGAGCTAGCAGCTCCGGGAAGTGGAGAACAGCCTCAAGACGGAGATGGTGGTGGGCGACCTGAAGGGCATCATCGGCCGGGCCTGCCGAGGGTAGAGCCGCTGAGGTTGGTCACAACGGTTGAGCCCGGCATTGTCCTGGGGAAATGGTGCCATGAGGAAGAGATGGCAGACTACCTGAGAACACCAGGATTCCAAAGGGGCCTCATCAACGAGGCAGTGCGGAGGGTGCTCTCGGTCCCACCGCGGAGAACGTCGGCCAAGGACTCCTGGGACTACCTGATCGACTTTGAGGGCGAGAAGAAGGTCGGGATCAGGGTCCACTATCAGGACCGGAAGAAGCTGTACGACTTCGAGGGCGATACGCTTCTGGAGGAAAGATGGGGAAGATGGAGGATGACCGTGGCATGGCATGCGACCTCCCGAAGGAAGACGATCCTGGTCGATGAGCGAAATGGGAAGCGCGGATGCCTCCTGGACCTATGGTGGGGGTATACCGTTTTTAAGACGGTTTGAGGGCTTGAGCCTCCCTCCAACAAGGAGGGACTTTTTGAATGTCTTTCGCAAGAGGTTTGGTGCTCCCTCAAAAGTCACCACAAGTGGCGAGGGGGAGTCCAGAAGCACCAAATCGAAAAGTGTACCAAGAAGGTTGAACCCTGAGGGTGATGAAGCCCTTTTGTTCAAGAGCGGTCAAAAAGGACCGCATGTGCGGGTTCAACCCCAGTGACGGTGTATCCGAAGTGCATCCCATCCCCAATTCGATTCCAGCACTGCTCAGTCACGAGGCGACTTACACGTCCTTTTGTGAGTGCGACTACCAATGGGCAGATCCCGAGTTGCTTGGACTTTGCTAAGTTTAGGAGTCAAACCAGGTTCAGTGTGGTTCGGGATAGGAATGCAGACATATCAACCACAATCAATCGGTTGAACCATTTGAATTTTGTTGAATCCCAGGTTGTGGGAACACAGTTTTGAACACATCTCAATCCCACACAGCAACCATTCTAGGTTGGAGGCCATCGCTTCTAGGTTGCGTCCTACCTAGAAGCTTACTTAGCCTATAGAAGCTACCATTCTATTGATGCTTTTAGGCGAAGTAGCGGCATTACCGCATCATCTACCGACAAATGTCATGAGGTGTTGAATTTTGGTACGGAAGTTGGAAGCATCAGACATGGAAAGTCTCAGCAAAGCGCGGTGGATCCCTTTCTCCGAGGTGCGATGCCCTTTGTTCCTAGTAGCATTCTTGCTCCTAGTAGTAAGGCCAGGAGCCCCGAACGTAGCTTCTTTGATCCCCTTTCTCTAAGGTGCCGCACCAGAAGGAAGTCGCAGATGAAGGTGCAGTCGGGAAGTCGCATCGATCGAAAGGTCTGCTTACTCGTTCGACATCTCAAGATCGCTGCGAGTGCCGTTCGCACCAGAAATCCAACAGCGAGGCACTAGTAGCGAACCTTGTTCCTAGTAGCGAACCTTGTTACTACTAGTAAGGCACCTGTTACTACTAGCGTGGCACTTGTTACTAGTAGCTTTGCCTTCATGCAAAAATGTTTGGCTTCATCATGCTTCAGGAAAAACTGTCCTCTGAGTCTGGCGTAAGGCCTTCTTGCTGAGCCTGTTCCTGGGCTTTCTGGGCGTGGATCGTTTCTACTTAGGCTTCTTCTACACTGGGCGCCTTGGAGACCATGGGATGAGCCGCTTGTTGTATTTTTTTTGCCTGCTCCCCCCCTCGCTAGTCAATCAAGTAGGTGCCTACTTAATTGAGTAAGGGAGTAAGCTACTAGCTACTAGTTAGCTTCTAGGTAGGACCCAGGATAGCTCACGCTTCTGCAAGGAAGCTCTCCCTGCCTGAGGGCGGCGGGGAGCTTGTGATTCGGTTTCTAGATGTTGAATTTTAGGGAAACTTGCAAAATGCTTGTCTTGCTGAGTACTGGGTTTAGCAACTAGTTTATCGCTAAAGATAGAGCGTGATGTTTTCTGAGAAGCTGACAAAAGCTTTAAGAGCGGCAGGTTACTTCCTGCTAGTAGGTTGGAGCCTATTGCTAGTAGTGCGATGGTTAAGCTACCTCATGTTCAATGGTTTTCTTTGGAGCCACGCACCATTGCCCTTGGCAAAAAGGACGTCCAAACCGCTTGGCTGCGATAAAGCTTCATTGGTATAGAATGCGTTTAGAGGTTGAATTGCAGAGAAGCAGCAGCGATGGCCTCCACCCTACTTTGCGATGGCCTCCAACCTAGTAGCGATGGCCTCCTTTCTACTTGCGATGGCCTCCGACCTCATAGCAGGAAGCACAAACAAAAGGGCAGCTTTGTTCTCTCATGGCTGAGGTGCATGAAGCTGGTGTCTCGGCAAGGAATGCTTTTACCATGAGGGTGATGCCGTGAGGGATTGGATTTTCGTGCGCAGCAAGGCACTGTGAAACAGCGGATGCAAATGCGTACCCCGCAAAAAACAGGAAATGGAACCAATGGAACCAATGGAACTGGACCATGACGTGCCGTGCAAGAGAGAAAAGACCGATGAAAGAAGCAATGAGCAAAAAAGAGCTACTAGAGGCTCCTGGCATCGCTACTAGTAACAAGAAGCTACTAGGGGCTCCTGGCCTTACTACTAGGAACAAGAATGCTACTAGTAACAAAGGCCATCAGGTCTTTTTTTTTGGTTCCTGTTTGTTTGGTCGTTTCATGACTGGTGAATCCGTTGCCGCAATCAGGTCACCTTGGGCGGCTTGGGCCTTTGGTGGCTCTATGACATCGCAACTTGGCCGGATTCTACCTGAGGACGAACACTGGCTCCACTGAAGCACAAAGAGAGACATGAAAAAGACAACAGAAAGAATGATAAGGAAGCGAAGGGGGGGATGCGAAGGCGATATTTTGCCTTTTGGCCTTGCATGTGAACAGCAACTTAGATAGAGCTTGAAGTTGCAAAGTTTGCAGTCACCCAGAGTATGGCATGAGCCGAGCACAATGGTGCAGAAACACAATCGCAGTGGATCAGAATCCTTTTTGCTGTTTTGAGTGCGTTCAACACACAGCTCCATGGCCTCGCCACTGAGGTCCGAGTGGGTGCTGCACCCATCTATGCCTTGGATTACAAGGTGCAATCGAGTGGTAGCTGAGGATCAGAAATCTGGTATCTCCTATTGCTGCAACAAGTCGTCAAGTTATGAGATGTTCACACGGCAATTAACTCTTTGCTTTAAAAGCATCATGATCCAGTATGACCATGAAAAAGCGTTCAAGTGAGGTCTTTAGAGTATTCGACCTGCCTAGATCTGCAATGGTCCTTTTTCGGGTTTTTGGACAAACAGGTGGCAGCAGACTTGCCTCACTGGCTATTCATGACGCGACTTGGTGCAGTGGACTCGCTGTAGTGGTGGTGTTTCGGTTCTGTTTCTGACCAGAGAAATGCGTCCTTCACCGCGGGACGTGACTTGCCAGAACGAATTGAAGCATTCCATGTAAGCTTTGCCCGAATTCACAAGTTGAGTAGTAGATCCAGTGCTTCGAACTCGAGGATTCTGGTCCTGCTCTTCACAGCCCTTGGTTTGCTTTGGAGCTTGGACTCCTACGGCCGCCACCGGACGAAGAAGCGCCAAGAGGCGCAGCGGTCAAGGTAGACAATGAAGACAAACCCAGAGCGTGTATAAGCCCATATACTCTTTCCATTTGCCTTATATACTCTTGCAAGACTGAATGAGGGGCAAAATCGGAGTTGGACAAATGGTCGATGCTTGGGCTGGATTCCAGAGTTCAGAGAGGATGGGTTCCTTTAGCTGCTATAAGGTATTTTTTGCGATCTTTCTGGAGTTCTTGGTTTGGGCCGGCACCCAAATGCTGGTAAGGGGGCAGTTCCCCTAAGTACAACAAGTGACGACTTCTCCAAGGTATTTGCATGTGGGTGCGGTGTGGATAGTGCGGTTTCTTACGAGCGCCCTACAAAGCACAAGCTTCATACCTGGACGTTCTGCCTGGCCTGAATTCTTTTGCCACGGAGTGCTTCGGACAGCTAGCTCGCTTAATCTGATGCTTGGTTCGGACCTCAAAATCCAACGGAAAGTCCATCCTGCAGGCCATGCAGTTCTTCGCTGAAGAGGAGGCCGCACTGAAGAGCTCCGCATTGAATCAGGAGCTGCACAGCCCTTTGGCGACAAGTCGTCGCACAAAGTGTTCTTCAAACGTGGCAGGATGCAACAGGAAACAATCAGGCTTTGGCTATTCGGTTGGAGGCCATCGCTACTAGGTGGAGACCAGGCTATCGCTACTAGGTGGAGGCCATCGCTATTAGGTTGGAGGCCATCGCTATTAGGTTGGAGGCCATCGCTTTTAGGTGGAGGCCATCGATATTAGGTTGGAGGCCATCGCTACTAGGTGGAGGCCATCGCTATTAGGTTGGAGGCCATCACTAGGTTGAGGCCATCGCTACTAGGTTGGAGGCCATCGCTACTAGGT